TGGGTGTGTGTGTGTTTCTCTCAGTATTAGGCCCTATAATCCAACATTAGGGGCATACATTAAAGGAGTTAGTCCCGGGGTATCACCAAACCTTAGCATGTCACTGCCACCTAGTGCTTGTTTTCACAGTTGAGATACTGCTATTAGAAAATCATCAGCAACATCAAGTTGTAGTCTAGGAGTATAGATAGGTGCCAAAAACTAAAATGTACCCTCAATCCTGGAAAAAAACCCAGCGTGTCTGAGATATAACCCCATGTAGCAGCCAACGCAAATTATGTATTTTATATAACACATTTTACAAACCTCAATGTCGTGTTCTTCGTCATAATACAGAGAATATGTTCCTAGATATTGCACGTTCAGGTTACTGAAACATACACAAAATAATATACAATTATCTTTATGACAAAGACTTCAATGAGTATTGATGGCTGTTCAATGAAATAAACTTATTGCTGACAATTATATATACTGCGCGCCATAGAAAACGCATCACTTTTTTTTCTCAAATATTTTATTACTAGGTGGTTTTGTATGTATAATATTATGCAACACTATGAACTATTGTTTCACACAATGCTCCTAAACACAAAAATATCGGCCCGTGTGCAAAAAACCCAATATTCACGTGCAGCATTGTGTGTGAGCCCTTTAAAAGCATGTTTTCAACTTAATGTGCAGTACATCAACTGTGAAACGTCAATCTGCCGTAATTTGTTGTTGGACGTGTGAAGGAATCGAGCTAGAGATGCCGAGACTTACTGAAAATCAACGGAATGAAGCCATGGGAATGTCCAAGTCTGGCATGTCTACACGTGCTATTGCCAGACACTTCAATTGTCATTAATCAACTATTGTAAGGTTGGTGGAACGTGTTCAAGTTACTGGATCAACACGTGACCGTCAACGCCCTGGTCCACAACGCGTTACAACCCAGGCTCAAGACCGCTACATCCGGGTCACTCATCTGCGTGACAGATTCCGCCCAGCTACTCGAATAGGTGCAGCAGTCGTCGGAAGACAAGGACCAGTAAGTGCCAACACCGTAAGACGTCGTCTAAGAGAAGTAGGACTCAGTGCACGACGACCTTATGTTGGAGCTATCCTCAGGGATCATCACCGTAAGCGGCGTTTGATATGGGCTCAAGGACACCAGACATGGAGAAGAGTAGACTGGCAAAGTGTGCTCTTCAGTGATGAGAGTCGCTTTCATCTTTATCACGCTGATGGCCGTCAACGTGTGTGGAGACGTCTTGGGGAACGTCTTGCAGACTGCTGCGTCTTCGAAACGGATCGATGGGGTGGGGGAAGTGTAATGGTGTGGGGGGGCTTCACATTTCATCACCGGACCGCCCTACACATTTGCAGGGGTCGCGTTAATGCTGTAGCCTACCGTGATGATGGCCCGCGGAGGACACACGCGCTACTGACATCTGTGTCGTATTTTTGGTTTTGGCCCCTCTGACTTTGTACCCTTGATTACAGATTAAACATCCATAAGTGTACAAATGTGTTGTTATTGATGTGTTCCCTTTTGAATATTGTTCACTATAAGAAGCAAAATAAATAAGATATGTTTACAGGATCATTTTGTTATACGAAAAACTAAGTGATGCGTTTTCAATGGCGCTCAGTATATAATAATACAGAAAGATAAGGTTATAAGAATGAGTACGTACAGTCCTTTGAAAGTCCGCAGTCTTGGGTCGCTGTATGCTTTACAAATTACAGACTGGGTTGCTGTTGTATTTTTCTCAACAATTACCTTAATAAAATAATAAAAACATGATTTAAAATATATTCTGTTACTATTTGTCTTTTACAAGTAAATGATTCGTTGAAAGCGTTCAGTAACAATTGGAAATTACTCTTGAGGTTATGGTCAAATGAATGGCGTTTTCGTAACAGATGAATAGCGTTCTTCGTAACAAAGACGAATAACAATAGCAAGTATTATTGAAAATCGTTGACAACCAATATAAATTTCAGAAGGTATTATCAAATTAATCATCCTTTCAAGAGGGTTCGTTGCGTCACTGGGATAGACAGAAAGATCAGGTCATAATTGAAACAACTATATAACTCACATGATTCCGTAATAAAGGAGAATAACACTTGGAGTTATAGAAATTAAATCGACTTTTCTACTTCAATGAGATAGACAACACATATTTAAATATGCATTATTGAATGACAGACATATGTATGGACAGGTAGACAGGGTTTACGACACTTTACAATGATCTGTTTATTAACTATCGTGCACGAATTGAACGACAATACTAAATACCGGAAAACACACTAAATACCGGTAAATACCTTAAACAGGTAACCCGGAGAGTGGCACCCTAAATAGGTAGCCCGGAGCTTGGTCCTCTGTGTGCCTGGGTTAGGGTTAGGGTTACATTTTCAGGTTTATAGTATAGCCCTTCTCCGGGTTACCCATTTAGGGTGTTTTCCAGTATTTATTGTGTTTTCCGGTATTCAGTGTTTTTCCGGTGTTTTCCGGTATTCAGTATAACATGGTGTTTTCCGGTAGTTGTTCGGTCTTTTCCGGTAGTTTTTCGGTGTATTCCGGTAGTTTTCCGGTGTTTTTCGGTATATAGAATAGCTTCGAATTGAATGACAGCCCACTCTAATAGACAAGAAAATGAAATACATCTAACAAACCTATACGCATTATTACCCCTAGATCTCATCCCGAGATTTATCAATCTGATTAAAACGCAGATTCTATATTTCGTTTCGTTTTTTATACATGAAGATCTGACCCGTTGTTCTGGAAGGTCGTGTCATACGAGCGGCTTTTGACCCTATATCGTCAGACATTGATTAATCAATCAGCGTTGAAGTTCTTAGTGCTTTACCCACAGTTCCGTGCATCGCACGCCAAAAACTCGCCGTAAAAGACCATTTCATTGGCTAATCCCTCATTTCAACCAGAACGCTCTTTCAGATCCTAATGTAGTAAAGACAAGTAAAACTAAATTTTGAACTATAAAAAACGAAACGAATAGAATCTGTGTTTTAATCAGATTGAAAATTTAACAAAATGTGTCAATAAGCATATCAAAAACATAGTACCTGTACACGTGGAGAAACGGTATATTTGGACCAAGTTAGATGATCACCGAAGAAATCAGACGATCTAAGAGTGACTTCAAATTGTCGTGAAGATTGTCCGTACTGATCACTAATGTCGGCGGTCACATCAATGGTATATTCTTCATCCCATCCATTCTGTAGAATATCTACACCACATTTATCGTTAAGTTTAGCTGACGCCGAGCAGTCTGTATTTAGTTTAGGTATAATCGCATTTACGCCGTAGTTACAACCAAAAAATTCATCATAACATCCTATGGGAGCTGTTGATCGGATCTTAATTTGGCCCTGTTCTCCTTCCTTTAGACGTAGAACTGGGGTCAAGACCTAAAATGGTTTATAAAAATAAGCATGCATATATGTTGATTAGATCCCATCTAATCCCGGTCACCCAGGATTTCCGAGTCTTCAACGTCCGAAGGGTCTGGAACCGTTGTCAATATTTGATAAAAAGTTCCATTGCCCATGCGTAATCGGGAGTTTGGATTTACTCCCCTTCCCGCAATAAATCCCACGATTCTGCATTAATATTATAAACAAACATGAACCGTGACGACGAATTAGGATTGATTTAAAAAGAATACAAACCCATAGATATGGCCCATGAATCGTGACGACGAATTAGGATTAATTTAAAAAGAATACAAACCCATAGATATGGCCCATGAAGCGAGTAATTTTACAATGAAAAAAATGAAGAGTGTTGGATATTGAACTTCCAATGCAATCAAATGTATTTTCTGAAATTGCATTCTTAAATTAATTTCATGGGCGTCAACATCTTGTTTTAAGACTAGTTACCTCCCTTAGACTTTGTTTATGGTAATGTAAAAGACTGGTTATTTCAACCAATGACCTATTATTCTCAAATTTTGGCAACGCATCCAGACTAATATTCGTAGACTATTTCTTCTGAATAATAGAGACTAGATCTGATCTTAATTTGGGTTGGCCCCGCCCCCTTCCTGTAGACGTAGAACAGGGGTCAATTCCTATTAATGTTTTACAAATACAAGCGTATATATATATAATAAATTCTAGATCTAATTTATTTTAAACTTTATCCGCTTTTACGGTTAAATGAGAATATACATGTATTAGAATTTCGACCAACTGACTCGAATCGGGTAAGAAAATCGCCTTGTGCACTAAATCCTTGAAACGATTATGGTACAGTATACGTTGTCATTATATAACAAATTATGCCTTTATTAATACAATACTTGAAATGTTTCTAATAATATTACAACAATGTAAAACAATTGTAGAACCTACCTTAATACCTACAAAACGCGAGTCGCTTTTCGACACTGTAACATTGGAGGTTGGCGATTCACTTGCATGTATTTCACAGCGAATCTACAAATCAAATACATGTATGTACTTATTTTGCCATCGAAGATACCACTATGAGCATATTAAAATTCCTCATTGATAATATATATGTCCTATGTGTGATCAGAGAAGAAATTTTTAGGTCAGTAATTGGTATACCTATGAGAGAGAGAGAGAGAGAGGGGGGAGGGGGTAAAGTCCATTCGACACAAACTAGGTCATTTCAGGAGCAACATATGGTTCAATTTTATTTCAATAATTCGCTTGCACGTAGGGGTCTTTAGCAGTGGCAGGAAACCGGAGGACCAGGTGAAATACCACGTTGTTGGTCAGGAGACTCTACTCCTTGTCATGTACAACCGGGGAAGCGAAACCAAGCCAATCGACTCAATGACAGACCTTATGATACAACGCTCACGCGCAAAACATTCGGACATCCAGCCCCCCCCCCCCCCAACATTCCTATGGAAACCAACTCTGACCCTTTACTTGCCAATCAAATGCTATATTTATTTTTATTAGTCGGATTTCATGCAAAATGCAAAAAACAAAAACGTTCAATTACCCTAAAAGTTAAATAGTAGATGTATTAAATAATCATAGATTCATTGAATATATACCTTTTATATGCACCTTGAGTCAAGAGATTTAATAGACCATATGCAACAGAATCTCGGCATGCTATTTTTAGTTAACTTCTCAATATATTGACCCAAACGGTGCCTTTGTGTGAAATTCTTCAAGTTTCGGGAATATACCTATCTCACTTGCATCGATATTCTAGAGTTTATGAGGACGGTCTAGCTTCTAGCTAAGGGTTATTACTTTTTTTTATAAACAATATTTATTCAGAAACTGAGGGGATTGGGGAACAGGCAAAACCTATATAAACCCCTCTCCCACACACTTGGCTAAATATATATGAAAAGTATTTGAATTTTGCGAAATACAGCACACTGGTTGAGAATCACTGGTTTAATCCCTAGATTAATAGATCAGTAAACTCTCTTGTTTAGGAAACACCCAAATGGTAAACAATCTATTGTCAGATTCTACATGGAAAGCTTCCAATAGGGCAACAATAACAACTGTCTAGTCGTTCGGATGAGACGAAAAACCGAGGTCCCGCGTACACATTGGCGTGTACGTAAAAGATGCCTTGACATGGAAAGCTTCCAATAGGGCAACAATAACAACTGTCTAGTCGTTCGGATGGGACGAAAAACCGAGGTCCCGCGTACACATTGGCGTGTACGTAAAAGATGCCATGACAGTTGGAATTCGATATAAAAGTAGGTGGTAGTGCCGCTGTCCGGGCAAAACTTCCCTCATAGCACACTGTATGCCGCCTTCATTAGCCCAGTTCGGAGCAGAACAGTAGGGCGTTAAACTCCATTTCATTTCCAATAAGGTCGCACACAGTATTCGAAGAATAAGATCTTGTACTTACATCATAACCAACTGTTCTACTTAGTTGATCTTCTGTTAAACTTAGACGTTTTCTGAAGTCAGTATCACCACCGCTTAGAACAGGACTTGTATATACCAGTTCATCCTTGACATACCACAGTGCCTTATAAAATACTAAATAATTTACTCCCGTAAAATCACAGTGAAATCTGAACATCTTTCGGAACTCTTCATGAATAGTTTCAACGCTAATATTTACAGATGGCAATACATCCAGATGTTTCTCGTCTGAAAATTAATAAATTAAACGTAACCGAATAAATGGCCAAGTTTTCAAACTTTTCCTTTTTTTGTTGCTTAAACTAAAAGGAAAAGACGAGCGTTAACACAAATAATGCAGTATGCCGCATATTAAAGAGAGAGAGAGAGAGAGAGAGAGAGAGAGAGAGATGGGGTTTAAAGTCCTCTCGACACAGACTAGGTCATTTCGGGACTAACATATGGTTCAAGTTTATTTCAATAATTATCTTGTGCGTAGGGGTCTTTAGCAATGGGAGGAAACCGGAGGATCCGGAGAAAACCCACGAAGTTGGACAGACAACCCTACTCCTTGTCACATACAACCGGGAAATCGAAACCACGCCAGTTGACTCAATGAAAGACCTTATGATACAGCGCGCACGTGCTAACCATTCGGCCATCCAACCCCCTAGAAAATAAATAAATCAAACGTGACCGAATAAATGGCCAACTTTTCAAATTATTCCATTTTTTGTTGCTTAAACTAAAACGAAAAGATGAGCGTTAACACAAACAATGCAGTATGACGCATATTAAAGAAATGTTATGTTATTATGTACCGATACAATGTACCTGCTTTAAAGTGAAAGGTCGACAGAAGATCTCAAATGACAGGGTTATAATGGCAATGTACATACACTTTCAAAACCATTCCCAAATGGTCGACACACTACCGAGCCATGCTAGCGGAGAAACTGGAGTACTTGAAGTCACGTCACTTTACCAAAGATGTTGTACAAGAGTACTCTAGCCACGCCCTAGCATGGGCCAAGAAGTCCTACGGCACGCGACTTCAGGATAGTGTGAAGACAGAGTACCATCGCCTACTGTCCACGGTCTCTAAAACTGTCACGCCCCCTCCCCCATCACCCATGCACATTACACACAACCTTCTCGGGGACACGCCAAAACGATACACACCCAACAAGAGAAAATTATCCCCTGGAGTAGGCACTTGCATTAACACTCCCTCGAAACGTGCAGCTAGATCAACCAGTTCGCACCGGGTTGTGTCTGGCTCACCTACTTCCTCGGGATCTATATCGCCACTAAACGCGCTTGTCGACTGTCTGTCCCCTAGATCGCCCATCATTCCTAACCCTAGAATTGCCACCAGATCTTCCACCAGATGTAGGCGACCACTCAACCTATCCCTAAAGAGACCTCACAGCTACAAAGGTAAAGACGAGAAGGATTTATGGTTCCTACCACCCGTCATGGCAAAGACCCTGGTTATTGGATCCTCTAACCTGGCTAGGATTCCATCCTTCCTCGGGGACTGGGAGATCCATAGCTATTCTGGAGCCAAGATTAGCCACATCAAACAGATCCTCCAGAACTACATGGGTCCTGCACCAGAGGAATTAGTGATACAGGGAGGAAAGTGGATCAAGGATACACGAGCAGATGCTAGATCTACTCGAGGTGACCAGAGCAGCTTTCCCAACAACCAAGCTCTTCGCCACACAGATCCCCACTTCTTCCCGGCTCCGACAAGAAAATCCGATCGCCTACCAAAACATCAACAGCTACAACCAACTGATCTCCACTGCACCTTCACCAAACGCCACCACATTGCCAACCTTCAAGGGTTAAATAGAACTGAAAGGTAACGACGCCATCCACTGGAGCCCAGACACGGCCAGAGAGATCATCAACTGCTGGATGAGGAATTTAAACTAGGATTAGGGAAAAGGAATGAGAAGCCGTCTTTAGGACAGACAGTTGTCAATTTGAGCGACAGACTTCTCAACCCCCTAGAAATGAACATTCTTGATAAAGGCCTTAAATCCATCTCAACCCCCACAATAACCTCCATAGACCCCATCACCCAGGCAACCGATCGCTTCCAAAGAACACTTTCGTTGACTTATTTTTTTAGGAACAAACCCGGCAGAGGTAAAAATTATTCACAGCAAAATCCACATGGAAACCACCTAAAAAGCCATCCTAAAAACTTTCGACGAAATGAATATAGAAATATCATCCCTTCAACCACAATCACAAAAACCAAATCTCAACCGAGCAACTAATACAGCATTAAACACCCTTAAAAAAGACAAAAACATAATAATTAAGAAAAGCGACAAAAGCTCGTGTTGTGTCATAATGAATCGCGCAGACTATATCTCAGAGGCAGAAAAACAATTAAGTAATCCTAACATTACACTAAATTAGACCAACCCATCTTTAAGGACACCGCAACTTTAATAAACAACGTCTTACATGAATTGCAGGATAAGGAATACATAACAGCAAAACAATATGATTATCTATCTGCTAAATCTGATTGCCGACAAAGACATCTCTTACACTACCAAAAATATATACATAAAAATCCAGAAACAGAATGGTTTATACCTAATAAATTACCCAAGGGACGCAGCGAATCATACAACGTATCACAATATATAGACCATTTCTTATTACCCCTAGCATGCCAACACCCATCCTACCTTAAAGACGTTAACGATTTCATTCACAATGTGACAAGCAATACGTAGGGGAGACTCAAAATGCACTTAGGGAAAGAATTAACGGTCACCGATCAGACATAGTCACCAAAAAAGACAAACCGGTCTCAATTCATTTCAACCAACCAAATCATGACATTTCTGATCTCATTGTCACGCCAATAGAAAAGACCAAGAGCGACTTTGAAACTACAGAAGAAATTAAAACGTTTAGGCTAACAAGAGAAAAATTCTGGATTGACAAATTGAAAACAACAGCCCCCCTAGGTTTGAATATTCATACGGCTAGCGCAATAGCCCCTTTTGTAGTTCCATTTAGCGCAACAGTAGCAAGTGCATCCAAAATCATCAGAAAACACTATACTGATCTCCAAGAAAATCACCCGAAAATATTCACACAGAAACTTATAATTGCATATTCTAAAAATAAAAATCTGAACGACATTCTAGTGCACAGTAAATTAGATTAAATAAGACCAATCTCCACCCTAACCCAAAACAAACCATATATCAAATCCTATCTCTAACCGTTAGTAAATAAAATCAACTAGATATAAGAATCCCTAGCCCTAACCCGGTGATGTGGAATAAACACGATTTTTTTTAGAAAACCCAATCCGTAGTAGGAAACACACTAATGTGGCTCTCTACCGAGAGCCTCAAATTTATTTTCTTTTTTCTTCAGAAACAATAATACCAGAATACCAGAAGCACCATCCAAGGAAGACCATCAGCGCCACCAACACCAAAAAACAGTGAAATCGCCTTTGTATATAATTCTAATGTATTGTATGTATTTTTAATAAAACTAGGAAATGTCACGAACTAATTTTTCATCATCCTAGTTCAGTGCTTATGTGGAGACTTAACCTCTCCCCCAAATTCTTAAACGTAACCCACAATCTATATATGACGCCATATGTGCTAAAATGTGCAGGACCGTCGCCGATCTAGCGCTCTCCGATATAGCCTTCTCCCAGATCTTCCTGTAGTGTAGGCCATCGAAAGTAACAAAAAACGAAACGAAGTATAGATCTGTATTTTGATCAGATTGCAATGGCCAGGGAGCATTTATTCTACTGTAACACAAAGCGTATTTTTTACGACTACCAGAATAGATATGTTACTAACCTGAACAAATAACCGAAGCATCTTGACTATGAGCGCAATTGTTATTATAATAGTAATAGTAACTACTGTGTCCACAGTATCTATATAGTCCCGGTTCTGATCCTGTGCATGCAACTTTAGTAATATATATAGGTCCAGTTCCTTGGCCAAAGTAAGCTCCACTTTTAGCTATCGCCCCATTCCTTAATACAAATGATTAGCATTTTATTACGACATTAGTAAAATCCCCCAAAATAACATTGCAGCATTTAAATTATACTGAGGGTAGTTAGGTTATTAGTACTTAGTAATCGATTATCATGTTGACAAAAAAAAAAAAAAAAAAAAAAAAAACGTGCTGCCTGATTTTGAGCGAAAAATAAAGGAAAGAAAATTATTAGATTGCAGGAAATATATATATATATATAAACAACATTACGGGCTAAAGCCAAGTTCTCGACAAGCCACTGATGCATCTTCGGTTCCCCACTGATCATCACAGATTGTGCCCCATTGACTGCGAAAATAAAATTCAACTCTTCCCTTATTTGGTGTTGAACCTCTTACCAGACGAATAGATGCTAAAATAAATTGAATAAAAGAAGTCTTATTGGACACAACCAGTATCAAAATTAAAATGACGGGAGTCAGGGTGGTTCAGTGACTATGGCGTTTGCTCACTTACCTGGAGGTTCAATCTAGGTGTTGGCCGAGGATGTTCCTCGAGATTTTCCGTTGTGGTTTCCATTTGTCAATATGCAGGACGGAGATAAGATACGGCAAGGAACAGCGTCTAGTGAAATGGTGGGGGAGGGGGGGGGCGCGTGGATAAGAAAAGTAGAGCGTTACACACCATTTCATAAAAAATGACAGAATCAAATCTTCTTCACGTTCTGGAATATCAATGATGTCATGGCACAATGCGATGTTAATTTTGCCTGAACGTAAAATCAACCAGTAGTCTGACCATTCGAATTGTCATGCGTTTGTGTGTGTGTGTGTGTGTGTGGGGGGGGGGGGGTCTCTGAACCATCTTACCCTCATTTTGCTATGAAAAGTACCTTGTTGTTCAGGACCGAGACAAAATCATGTTGAACCTTTTCATTTTGGCAGCAATAAATTTCATTTATACAAAATACGAAAATCCATATTTTACGTTTTTTCCGAGGAAAGTTGATGTTTAATAAATATTTTACAAACGGCGTTCACAAAACCAGAACTTACGGCGACATATGATTGAAACATCTCCATTATGTTGACAGTTTGTTGTACCCCATGGTTTGTGTTTACATATGGACACAGTTGATTCTTGACCATTGCTACAATCTACACCATCTAACCATATAGGTCCAGTACCTTCTCCAAAATATGCTCCCCCAAAAGCTTCAGCTCGGGTTCTAATTTTAAACAAAAATAAAAATATATCTAATTACAATTTCCCGATCGCCATTTGCAGTATCGAATGTAGACTTTTTTATTTGCGTGAGAACCCTAGTCGACAGTTATTGTATTCCACAGAACTGGGTCCAGTGTATTTCCAGTTTAATTCCTCAATTACATTGGTCGACTGTTAGTCTCGGTCACCCTGAACCTCCTAGTCTTCAACGTACAGAGGGTTTGGGACCGTTGTCAAAAGGTCATTGCCCACGCGTAACCAGGTGTTTGGTTTTTAATGTGGTTGATTATCCAGTATCTTTGGCCAAGTCAAGTAAGAGTTGCGCCCCTTCCCGCAATAAATACCATAATTCTTACATCTATATAAACAAACATGAACCGTGACGACGAATTAGAATTAATTTAAAAAACATATATGACCTATGAAGAGAGAAATTTTACAATAAAACAAAATAAGAGTGTTGGCTATTGAACTGGCAATGCAATCAAATGGATTTTTTGAAATGGCATTCTTAAATTTCATGGGCGTCAACATCTTGTTTTGGGACTAGTTACCTCCCTTAGACTTTGTTTATGATAATATAAAATGCCGGATAGTTTAGCCGATGAACTATTATTCTTAAATGTTGACAAAGCATCCAGACTAATATTCGTAGAATATTTTTTCTGGATGATAGAGACTAATTGACTGTAGGCTTTTGTATTTGGTTGAGAACACTGGTCGAAACGCCATTTAACAATGAACGAATAAATAATGTGTACCCTAAATGATCGCTTGTCTCATAGCATAGATGTGTCAAATAGTACAGACTTACGTTGGGAAGCCAAGCTCGTTACAAACCACTGTTGCTTCTTGTAACCTCCAGCCCTGATCACAAACTGTTCCCCATGTTTCATTAATACGAACTTCTAGTCGTCCTTCTCGAGGTCCAGACCCTCCCACTAGTCGGTATGGAATAGCTATACAATATAGTATTACATGATTATTAAACCTAGAACATCTGATATCATTTATACGAACTTCTTGACGGCCTTCTCGAGGTCCAGACCCTCCCACTAGTCGGTATGGAATAGCTATACAATATAGGAATACATGATTATTAAACCTAGAACATCTGATATCATTTATACGAATTTCTTGACGGCCTTCTCGAGGTCCAGACCATCCCACTAGTCGGTATGGAATAGCTATACAATATAGGAATACATGATTATTAAACCTAGAACATCTGCTATCATTTATACGAACTTCTTGACGGCCTTCTCGAGGCCCAGAACATCCCACTAGTCGGTATGGAATCGCTAGGAATACATGAAACCTACAACGTCTTATATAATTTCCCACAAAGCTGACAGGTGTTTTATTGTGCAATTTTACGTTGTCAAAGAGTAACCGAATACAGTGTGTGCAAAACAGCTTTCTTCAACGTCCGCTTCTACTGAAGAGTTATCGCCGGCAAGTACAGTATTATGTGATATCTATTTACAGGTGTGATTAAAAGATATAACAAATTGGTGAAAAATTTATATATGTGCAAAACAAAAATGGGAGAGAGAGAGAGAGAGAGATATAGAGAGAGATAGAGGGAGGTGGGGTTAACGTCCACTCGACACACGGGACTAACACACGGTTCAATGTTATTTAGCTATGGGAGGAAACCGGAGGACCCCGAGAAAATCCACGAAGCTGGACAGGCGACCATACTCCTTGTCACGTACAAATGGGGAACCGAAACCACGCCAATTGACTCAATGACAGACCTTATGATACAGAGCGCGTGCGCTAACCATTCGGCCATCCACCCCCCACCCCCCCAACGAGAATGGACAACGCATTCATAAAAGTGATACGAACATACACCTGCATATATAGTAATGTTAATTTTGTCCTATTTCTCCCATCAATGAGATCCAGGTACAGCTTGTCTGCGATATCATCCTCGGTGGAAGCGGACGTTAAACACTAAGACGAACAACATCTAGGTACAGAATCGTTGGTATAATACCATATTGAATGAGACCAGGATGGATTTCAGACTAACTTCGGTGTGAATTCTCAGTTTTCACAAGGCTACTTATAACAGATAAAGTTTGTTTGAGGTTGGTCATATCAATTTTGAGATGCTGAAACTGTAAGTGGTTATCGTTTGTCTTTCATCTAAATCGGGCAGAAAATATAAACGCAAACACATTACTTCAGTTATAGACCATAATCCACCAGGTTCCGGAGATGGAAAGATTGCGAACAATCTGAATAAAACACAGATCCTATTTCGTTTCGTTTTTATAGTTCAAAATTTCGTTTTACTTGTCTTTACTACACTAGGATCTGGAAGAGTTGTTATCATTGACGTGTTGCGAATGATGTGAGCTATTAGCCAATGAAACGGCCTATTACGGTGAGATTTAGGCGTGATTGGCACGGAACTGTGGGTAATCCACTAGTAACATCAATGCTGATTGGTTAATCAAATGTCTGACGTCATGGGGTCAAAAGCTGCTCGTGTGACCTCTGATGTGACCTATCGCTACAACCGGGCAGATCTTTATGTAGTGTAGGCCATCGAATGTATAAAAGAATGTATAAAAAACGAAACGAAATATAGATCTGTATTTTAATCAAATTGCAGTGCAAAGGGCTATAAACTAACAGAAAAATATTGAAAGTGATCAATTGTAGTAAATGATTAGTGGTCTGATCCCTATATGAGTGTTCAAACGTTGTGTACATTAAAAAAAATAACTCACGTTTGCAGATGACAGACACGTCGTTCGCGTGACCACATGTAGCTTGACCGAATCCATTATGCTCACAATTTGCAAGAACGGCTTCTGAACCATTACATTTCACTTTATCTAGCCATATCTGGCCACTGCCTTGTCCAAAGTGAGATCCCTTTCTAACAACAGCTCCATCTCTAAAAAGAATCAGAATATGTTTAAATGGAACAGCCTCAGAATATCTTAACTCGATACTTTTCGAACAGGTGCCCCACCGCACCTTAAAGATACATTATGGGAGATTAGATAAAGAGTTGATTGTTCGCGCTATAATAGTTAACATATAGATAACGTAAATAGAATATGTTGAAAATTTCAGTCAATATGCGACACTCTGAACCGAGATATTAGCTTTTTGCATTTTAAGCCTAGCCTCGATCATCAATACTAAAGACGGCACGATAAAACATAGTTTCGATTATCCATATTTTGATTTAATCATCAATAAGCGTTGATCAGCAGATCGTATTCCAATCCAGTTATTCTATCACAGTCTCACACAACAACTTTTGGTCTTCGAAGGAATTATTAGTGAGCAGAAATTCGGCCGTGTATCTGTTATCACTCGTCCCTTCAGTCAATTATATAGAGCGGCGACTCGTGTTTTCCTTTGGCGTTCGTCACTTCCGATTCGGGAAACATGTATTACTCAGCTATCGTAGCAATGATCTCTGTGTTAAAAGTATATTTGGAATGTGTTTAACCAGCTCTAACACATATGTGATAATGACTGGCACCAATATTGTCCTTTAATGTCTAATTAATAATTTATATAACATTTCAGGCCTAAAGAAAGACCTTCAATAGGAAATTTGACTCTTGCATAATGTATGTTTAACCATAAGTTAGTTATTTTTATTTAACTATAACTCTAACAGAGCAGTTTATAGAGTTCATTTCTTCACACTTTGTCACTTGACAAAATTGAATAAAATACAAAACGTTTACTTCAAAAAAGAAGTGTTCTCTGGTTATCTCCCCTTCCCCTTAAAAAAAGATATAAATATATTTACGGATGAAATCCAAGATCTCTACAAACAACTGAAGCCTCTTCATCTCCCCATCCCTCATCACATACAGTTCCCCACTCATTATTATAAAATACTTCCACTCGTCCTTCATTGGGTTCTGGTCCGCCTACTAATCTAACTGGAACTGAGAAATTAAAAAAAAACTCAACAGATTATTAGACACTTTTACGCTGAATCAAGCGCCAAAACTTTTATTTAAAGACGACTTATGCCAGATTTAGATAGAGGGCTATACTAGCTCAAAAATAGATAAATAAAAATGAATATAATAAACATTTCTGTCAAATTTCGGTCATGTACAAAGTTATGAATGTTTGCAGTGTTGACAAGAAATAGCCGATTGTCAAATACCATTACCATGATTGACGGTCCTTGTATTGAGCGATGTCCGTTTTAACATTAACCGATTATATGGCGAGCGTGCTGTAATTTATTCAATATGTCGGCTACACGATGATATACCACTTATTTACACCATTTGCGTTATAGGACGTTTTGGTCCGATTTTCACGAAATTCGAACTCAACCATCATTAAGGTGTAACGGTGATATATTCACACGGTTTTGTAAATCGGATGATAATTGTGACCTCTAGAGTGACCTAAAGATAAAAACGCGATTTTTCGTACAGTCAATCGCCATAATTTAGGATTTTACGATCCGATATGCGCAAATATCGACAGGAACCACGATCTTTGGGTTATAAACATGTATTTCAAGTTTCATCAAAATCGGATTCAATATCTCGGCCATACGATGGTCTAGAGATTTGGTTATGGGCTTGTCATGTGAATAAATGTTCAAATAATGTATATAAAGCTAGAAATAAACCCTCCTGTATACACCAAGAAAACTGTACGTGTATCCCAAGCTTTGGATAGGATGTTATTATTATGGATTCACTTCTCAAAAATAATCTGCGATCAATGACATCATCTGTTGTTGACTGACACAACCAATGAAATCAGGGTGTCACCAAATTATATTCCTTCTCATGGTTTTACAAAACAAACTGCATTTTCTTGATTAAAGTAGCTAAGTCTCTAACTCAATATCATTCAAAGTCTTCGACATTGAAAACACGAATTATTTGTCAATTTACATCAACATTGATGTTGTGATCTTACCGGGAAAAGATGGGATTCTGATATCCAATATTTAAGGCAAAATAAACATTTTACCATTGGTACACGAATCGTGTACCATAATGCGTTTCAGGCCCATTCTAACAAGGGACTCGAAGAACGAGGCTAGACATTCAACAAGTCATGTGAAACGATGACGGCATATTCATATCGGGAGAGTAAATAAATACTATGTAGACTAGAATAACCAGACGCTAGAAATTTTCATTCGATTGAGACTTCTGACGTAACTAATTTGAAATTAGAGTAAAAATGGAAACGATTGAATGTAAATCAGTTAATATATATTCCTATTACATTATTATATGCGTTACGACCCATTTGTGCCAATTTCAAGGTCCAAAATATTAGCGATTTAGCTCCTTTAAGGTTTTAAATTATCTTTTTTCTAAAAATAAAATTTAAGTGTTTTTGTTTACAAAACTAAAATTGATCAACCTACGTTTACAGATGACCGAGACATCCTTTGCGTGGTTACAGTTTTTCTGATCCCAGCATGAGTGTTTACAGTCCCTGAGATGAGCTTCAGAACCTCTGCAGTATACGTCATCAAATAGGATTGGTCCAGTTCCCTGTCCAAAATAAGCACCTCTCTTATACACAGCATCAGTCCTATAAACATGAAAACAGATATTATAGGTTTCGTACAAATTTGGGTATTTAAACGGAAATGAAATGAAATTGGGTTTAACGTCCTACTGTTTTGCTCCTAAACTGGGCTAATGAAGACGGGCATGCCATACAGTGTGCTATGAGGGAAATTTTGCCCGGGCAGCGGCGCTGCGGCCTACTATTATATCTAATTCCAACTGCCAAGGGATCTTTTTCGTGCACGCCAATTTGTACACGGGACATCGGTTTTTCGTCCCATCCGAAAGACTAGACAGCTGCCCTTGTCAGGCCCTCCGTCCAGCATCACTGACAAGGGGGAAACCACGTCGGAAAATCTGGTTTTATCCAGACACTGTATAATACAGCTTGCGGCACCTGTCTCCAGTTGGTTAAAAATGTATCACGTATATTGAGTTAGTTGCTCGGTCATAATTAGAGGCTTTTATTAGCTTTTAACACAAAATTAAGCAAGTTTATTCTCCAAAATATAACCGGGATTGGTTCTTTAATCCGGCTGTGGGCATGACCAGACTGAACCAAGCATAATGGCAGAAATAAGGCTTTACAGAGAAAATAGAAACGATAAAAACAAATTACGTGGTATATCCAAGCTCTTTACAAACAACTCTAGTTGCTGCAGTGGTCCATCCATCATCACAAACGGTTCCCCATTGACCTTCAACAAACACTTCTACCCTTCCTTCATGAGGTCCTGAACCATCCACAAGTCGAACCAATGCTGAAATAAAACAAGAACGATCGTACGAGAGACCAGGAACTGGCCATGTTGTTGGATGAAATTCAAAAACTTAATTCACCAAATCGAAGCATGCCAATTGTCATGCCGATTGGACTTAAATTCATTCTGATTAAAACAGAATTCGTTTCGTTTTTTTATAGTGTACTTGTCTTTACTACACGATCTGTAAGAGTTTTTTTTTTATAAAACCCGCGTTTTGGATAATGTGAGGGACTAGCCATTGAAACGGTCTGTTACGGCTGATTTTTGGCGTGAGGTGCACGGAACTGTGGGAAACCCACTAGAAACATCAACAGTAATTGGTTAATCAAATGTCTGACGACATAGGGTCAAAGGCCGCTCGTATAGCTTAACATTCTCAAAGAATCAGTTCAATAGCTAATGACAAAAAAATCCCGATGGACTTACGCTGGCAAACCACCGAAACATCTTCAGAATGACTGCAACCTGTTTTTCCCCAACCGTTATGTTTACAGCTAGCTAATGCATCTTCATGGCCGATACAGTCGACATTGTGTAGAATTAAAGGTAATGTTCCAGCACCAAAATATGCATTTTGTTTAGCTACTGCCCCTTTTCTGTAACAATAAACACAACTGATGTATATCTATAGCAAACCACAACGGCCGTATATTCTATAAAAAACATAACGGCCGTATATTCTATAAAACACATAACGGCCTTATATTCAATAAAGACATAACGGCCGTATATTCTATAAAAGACATAACGGCCGTATATTCTATAAAAGACATAACGGCCGTATATTCTATAAAAGACAAAACCATAACGGTCGTATATTATATAAAATACATAACGACCGTATATTCTATAAAAGGCATAACGGCCGTATATTCTATAAAAGACATAACGGCCGTATATTCTATAAAAAAAACATAACGGTCGTATATTCTATAAAAGACAAAACGGCAGTATATTCTATTAAAACCATAACGGTCGTATATTCTATAAAAAAAAAACCCATAATGGCCGTATATTCTATAAAAAAACATAACGGCAGTATAGTCTGTAAAAACCATAACGGTCGTGTATATTCTATAAAAAAAACCGTAACGGCCGTATATTCTATAAAAACATAACGGCCGTATATTCTATAAAAAACATAACTGTTTTTTCTATAATAAAAACATATTCTTAACAAAAAACATAATTGCTGCATATTTTTTAACAAAAACCTAACGGCCGTATATTCTGTAACAAAAACACAATGGCTGTATAATTTGTGTATTTTTTTAACAAAACATAATGATAAAGGGCAAAGGCTGTATATTCCATAACAATAACATCATAATGTTTGTATGATAAAACATAATCGCTGTATATTGACCAAACCTAGGAGTTTTCAGGACTATGTTAACTATTACATATGACAAATACATACTTATCAAATCCAAGTTCATCACATACAATGGCAGCTTCTTCTGGTCCCCAGTTGTCACTACAGATTGCACCCCATCGTCGATTATATAAAACTTCCACCCGTCCTTCATGTGGTCCTGATCCTCCTTTCAGTCTATACTGAACTGATAAAAACGACGGGAGATGTTAATCGAAGGCCGGTTTGGGAGGTTCGGGCGTTTCCCGAGACCAAATTGGCCGCTTTATATAAATGAGAATTTTGAGGAATATTTGGCCTAACCCTAACCCTTTTTAGAAGACTGAAATTGGATCCAATCCCTTTTAAACCGGTTAGGTTTCGGATTAGTATTACCCCAAATATTCATTTATATAAAGATATAAAGCGGCCATTTTGGACTCCGGAAATACCCGAACCTCCCCAACCTACCTACAATTAGCATCTCCTAAAAATGATCAATAAAGTGCAGGTAAACAGTAACAAATAACAAGACACTCGTTTGTCGAAGCTATGTGACGTAGTAAGTTCAATAGGTGGACACAATGTCAAGTTTGGCGTGAGGTCTAGGGGAATTACCCAATACTACCCAAGTTCACCCAATACCACCCCAATACCACCTCATTATCACCACATACTACCCAATACTATAACATAATGATGCAACATAGAGATATTTGCTTCCCTATACCACCCAAAACAAGTTTGGCGTGGGGTCTGAGGGAATTACCCGCGAATTTCATAAAATCATAAGCTCTGGGTCAATATTTCTGAAGCCAAAACGTCGACAATGCTCCCCATGTTATTTGTTCGGTTTTATTACGATGAATGTAGGATCAAAGAAATATTCTGTTTACGAGCAAAGGGAAATGAAATGAAATGAAATGGGGTTTAACGTCCTACTGTTCTGCTCCTATGCTGGGCTAATGAAGACGGGCATACGCCATACAGTGTGCTATGAGGGAAATTTTGCCCCGGCAGCGGCACTATCGCCTACTCTTATATCGAATTCCAACTGCCAAGGGATCTTTTACGTGCATTCCAATGTATACACGAGCAAAGGGAGCTAGGTGTGGGTGGACACGCTATAAATGTTACTAATCTTATAAATAACATGTTTGTCTGCGATATCACTTCGGTGGAAGAGGACGTTAAATAAAGTTATTTCACACATCAATCACAACTTTCTTGTCTACTCGAAAAGAAAACATAGATGCTGGGTTTCAAATATTTCTTGAAAGAACAAAAAAAAAAATACACTTACGTTTACATATAACCGACGCATCTCTATCGTGACCACAAGAATTTCCTGTACACGAATAATCACAATTGCGTAAATAGTATTCAGTGCCAGCACAGTACAGGTTATTCAACCATACAGGTCCAGTGCCTGGTTCAAAGAAGGCACCACTTTTAGCAATAGCACCAGTCCTGTCAAATAATAAAATAAAACCAAGTACGAACAATCCAAACCATAAGACAGAATTCGAAGTCCTAAAAAACGTTATAGGCAAAATAGTGTATTCAAGCAAAATAGTGTAATCAGCAAATTGACTGCTCCTCGTGTACAAAATACACGACAAACAGTGGTAACAGGTGTCCGGAAGAGTAAGCTTACCCTGCCTGGCGCCACACCCGCCAGATATAGAGACATTGTCGCTTAGACGGTGCGCAATCTGATTAAAATACAGATCTATGTTTCGCTTCGTTTTTTTTTATATTTTCGACCAGTTGTAGATCTGACCAGTTGTACTGGGAGGTCGCGTCAGGGGTCATACGAGTGGCTTTTGACCCTATGACGCCAGACATTGATTAATCAATCAGCGTTGACATTTCTAGGGGTTTATCCACAGTTTCATTGGCGAACCTGTTATATAACAACTCTTCCAGATCCTAGTGTAGTAAAGACGAAATTTTTAACTATAAAAAACGAAACGAAATAGGATCTGTGTTTAAATCAGATTGAGACGGTGCGTTAAAAGATAAGTTTTGAGTCATACACATATTTCAGGAGTTGTTACAAAGTCTAACGAACGTGGATATATGCAAGATTTAAGACAAATCTATCAAGCCATCCTTCGAGATTCGTACTTATATATTAGCGGTTGTCAAGGAGGTGTATGTGTATGCAAATCTCGTGAAAAATCAGGCAAGTCATCCTACAAAAATAGCCTTAATTAGGAGTCGTACAAATAATTTAGCGGTTGTCAAGGAGGCTATGCGTAGGGGGTTCGGCCCCATTCACCAGTTTGAAATAGAGAAATTCTCCTGTATTCCCAGTACTCAAATATTAAGATACAAACTATTCAGAGCCACCTGCGGATACAAAGTATTTTCATTACCTGGAATATCCAAGTCTTCGGCAAATGACAGCAGCTTCTTGACGACCCCAGCCATCGTCGCAGATAGTTCCCCATGTGTTATTGTACAATATCTCAACTCTCCCTTCATGCAGCCCTGAACCTCCTACTAGCCGTGGCAGGCTAGTACCTGAAATGAATCTTATTGGAGTTACCTAAGTCTGTTACAGAAAATAACTGTAATAGGACAGTCGCGTAATTAGAGTAAGATGTATCATTTTCCCAATGACAGTGGTGCTGGACGGAGGGCTTGACAAGGAACAGCGTCTAGTCGTTTAATACCGAAACCATTACAATGTTTTCATTGATTTTGAATGCACACTCTAGTAATTTAAACATACATTATGCAAGAGCTAAATCTGCCTATTGCAGGTCTAAATTTAGGCCTGAAATGTTACCTAAATAATTAATTAGACATTAATTAACTTATCCAGACCATAATCAACTCTCGATGGCATCGCTAGCCTGTGATATTTACTGGATTAGGATCCGATTTGCTGCTCAACTTTCATTCATGATATAAACATACATTATGCAAGAGCTAAATTTGCCTATTGCATGTCTTTCTTTAGGCCTGAAGTGTTTCCTAAATTATTAATAAGACATTAATTATCTTATCCAGACCATAATCAACTCTCAATGGCATCACTGGGCTGCGATGTTTATTGGATTAAGTTCTGATTTGCCGTTCGACTTTCATTCATAATTAAATCATGAAATGGATAATCGAGACTATGTTTTTATCGTACCGACTTTAGTAATGATTATCGAGGCTAGGCCGAAAATTTAATCGCCAAATTCTCGGTTCAGAGTGGATCAATTTGACTGAAATTTTCAGCAAATTCCCTTTACAGTATCTATTTTTTAACTATTGTAATGAGAACTGTTAGCTCTTTATCTAATCTCCCATAGTGTATCTTTGACACCAGAATTTTTGTGCTTATTTTGAAATAGGAAGATATGATTTTTAGAAAAGTAACTTTTAAACCCGAATGTGAATTAATTAATTTTTTAACAAACAAATTTAACATACCTATAGATGCTGCTGATAAGTTAACGAGCATACAGAATGCGAAGAGCAACACTGCTACACCCATCATCTTTGCCCTAAAAAACATCTCAAAGGTAAGTTCCGGGACAACTAATTGGTCCCAAACAGAGTTCCCCTTTTATAACCCCGTACGTAATGTTTTGATTGGTTGTCACGTTCTCTGTCTTTATTGTGCATGCACGAATTCATACATAAACAGGTTTTTACATTTAAGGAGCACACCCCTTTATAAATGAAATCATTGTTAAACGAGAGCATCGCTATGGCTGCAATATACGTCCGCATTCGTGGATCCTGTTTCACAAAAACTGAAACCTCCTTAAAATCTTCTTAAACTAAAATTTCATCCTAACTTAAGATAGACGAGTTTCACTATCATTAGATGAATTTGAGAATTCTAGTACACTTCTTTTTTGTGTTGTTTGTCAGTCATTTTTTTCCTATCTTTTCTTTCTCCTGTCCCGTCTCCTGTCCTTCTTTCTTTTCTTTCCTTCCCCTCTCCTTTCTTTCTCTTTTCTTTTTTCTTTTTCTTTTTTCTTTATAGCCTTAGGCCCACATTTTTTAATGAGCTTAGGCCCACCCCTCACGGCAGGTGGACAGGTGGGCCCAGTCCGGCACTGGCCCGAAATTAGAATCCCAAGAAAGGAAAAACACTTAAAATCCCAGTAAACAAAGCCCTTTGTTATTGTTTTATTTTTGATATCATAAATTTATTATTATTACTTAATGAAGGCTTACGTTAATAAAACAACATTTTATCTTGGGAAAATATCATTTTAATTGAGTAAGATAAATAGGCACTTTGACATTTTCAAATTATCATTGAAAGGGTCTATGGGGATGACATTACAGTCTACGTGTCAGCAACGGAAATGTGCACTGCACAGGCGCAAGAAATTGTAACTGAACTCTATTAAAATTGCATTTTAAGTTACAATCGAACTTCGTGAAACGCATAAAATTTGAAAGTTCATTTTGATTTTAGATAAAATCTATTTTAGTGATTTTTAGCTTAGGTTTTGTGAAGCAGGGCTCTGCTTTCATTGATATGGTACTTTTTAAAATGAAGAGAATGAAATATGAAATATGACAAGAGACACAGAAAGCAGGACTTAGGGTTTATTTTGGCAAATTTAGAGACAAAGTATTCACAAAACAGTGGGTGTGACTCCGCCCCAGGGAGTCGGGCACTGGGGATCGGGCATGCACCAAAAACAATAGGGATCATGCTTAGGGTATAAGGAATAAATATGAAATTTTTTCAAGACAATCGATTTAGACTTGTTGGCCTGTAGGCGGCTCTGCCCCTGGGGTTGGGCATGCACCACAAACAATAGGGATGTTTCTTAGGGTATAAAGAATATGTATGCAAAGTCTCAAGATGATATGTTAAGAAATACGGCCTGTATAAGACAAACAAACAAATACAAGAAATGAACGTGGCTCTGCCCCTGGAGTCGGGCATGCACAAAAAAATAGGGATCACCCGTAGGGTATAAGGAATAAGTAGGTAAAGTTTCAAGAGGATCACTTAAGAATTGTGGCCTGTAGGCGACACGCACCCCCCCCCCCTCCCCACATACATACACACAGACAGGGGCGACGTCAATATACATCCACATTATGAAAGTGGACGTATAAAAAGGGGTCTACCAAAAACAAAATATTTACGGGTATTTCCGAGGATTTACACACAGGATGAAAATATGGATTTTTGTGTAGATTTATTATCTTCAACTATTTCTAAGAGCGTGAAATCATCATAAGGTCTGTCATTGAGTCAAGTGGTGTGGTTTCGATTCCCAGGTTGTACGTGACAAAGAGTAGGGTTGACTGTCCAACCTCACGAGTTTTCTCCGGGTAATACGCACAAGCGAATTATTGAAATAAATTTGAGTCATATGTTAGTCCCGAAATAGCCTAGTTTGTGTCAAGTGTAATGGGTCTAGACTAATTCTAGTGTTGTGAATGTAAACCCATATACTCCGCCTAGCACTAGTTTGTGGTATTCGGTTGCCCCTCTCTCTCTCTCTCTCTCTCTCGCGTGTTGACAAGACATTAAACTGACGTGCCATATTATTATAGTCTCTGTTGAGTCCTCTCAACGAAGACAGGGTGTGATCATTGTATAGTGATGACAATTTTAGACCGAATTAAATATTTTCTCACGGATGTAATGATTATAGCTAGTGTGAAATAGGTTATATTAACCAAATAATTTGAACAAAAGCTTGAACCATAACTATTTTTGTTTGAGTAAACACAGTGTTGTACCTTAGAGTTTGTGGTCCTTGAGCTTGATGTCTCCCCACCCTCACAACACGCCCAAACACAACACAATACACAGCACAAATACTTCAAATAGTAAATAATAGCGGTGTTTTCGTGGAAATATATTTTCAACTTTGTGAAGAGTCTGGAATAAGACGAATGATGCAAAAAATAAATTTACTGTTAAGATTTAAGTACTGTAAAATTGTTTTATTTAACGATACGTTATATAAGATTTAGATAAAGAGCTAGCCATTCTTGCTATAATAGTTCGAAAATAGATAATGTAAAATGAATAATTGGAAAATTTCATTCAAATTACTCTGTTGCGAGCGAAGATATTAGCCTTTGAAGGTTTGACAAGACGTATGGAATAATGTCAACCACCGTACTGGTTGTTCGAAGCTAAGTCTCGCTCCTCCATTTTTAGAGTAAATCAAAATATGGCTGAAATGTTCTAATCTATTTAATATCGTAGAAATCCGATGCCATCGAGAGTTGATTATGGTCTGGATAAGTTAATTAATGTCTAATTAATAATTTAGAAAACATTTCAGGCCAAAAGAAAGACCTGCAATATGTAGATTTAGCTCTTGCATATATACTATTCAAAAAAGTAGGGGATATTCGGAAACAATACAAAATTGCGGAAATGCACTGTTGTGTTTATTAGCGGTAACCAGTGTATGTTAATAACAAGCCAATTGCCTACACATGAACATAAACAGTTCATATGGGCGGC